TCAACACTGTGATACATTCTCTATAATCCCTTAGAATGTTGTTGCTCATTCTTTTTGATAGCTCCCCCTCTAGAAACCCCCTAGATGGGTGCTAGGATGGTGGACTTCTCCATCTCTTGCTGCTTCTTTTGCAATTCTAATCTCTTGACCTTGGCTTTGGTGATCTGAAATTGTTGATTCGGTCTTCATATTCAATGTTTTTCTCCTTATCAGTAACTGTTGAGTCAAATTTATCTTTTATATTCAAAGTTTAAATTGATGTGCTTTATTTATCTCCTTTATTGAACAACACAGTGTCATGAATATAGAATTTTCATATATTTATTTTAAAGTATTATTTTATTTGCCTTATCAATTCTGTTAGTTGGGAAGACATTCTTGTTTTTTTGAAATTGACATCCCTTGTAATAATTTAGTTTAATGCAATATCAGTTCTTGCTGTTTGCTCACTTTTTAGCTAGAGATACCCCTTTAGACAATAACTTTATCTGTTTTTCTCCCATGGGGTAAGCAGGGGCAGGCCAATTGGTTGAGGCATCCTGATTGGAAAAGGAGCTGTCTGCTGGACATTGGTGCTGGTGGTCTTTGTTTCTGCCAAGAGTCACCAGGACTATGGACTTTGCCTTTTTATAAATTGAGCTTTTTAAATTTCATACATTTCCCACTCCAATCCAGACCCCCTCCCCCATCCATGCCTCCCCTTATCCCCCCACCAAACCTATGATACTCTGCCATACATGCTGAGTCCTATTCATTCAGGTGTTTGTGCCCAAATACCCTTCAGTGTAAATGCATCCACTGGCGTCTAATCAGCCTGTCCAGTGGTTGTATGTAAGTCATACTCTCCCTCACCCAGCAACAATCAGTCTCAAATAGTTCTCGATCTAGTGCTGGCCTGCCACCTATTTCTCACCTCCCCTTTGGGCCCCTCAATTAAAGTTGAGCTGACATGGGTCTTTGCCTTTTGTCCCCTGCTTTAACTCACCAATTCACTGTTCCTGAGTGAGAGGCAAAGAACTTCATCATTCACAGCACAGGAGCCATGAGCTTCCTGTTCATGTGGTCTTCATTTTCTCCCTGCAAGTCACACAGGGGACCCCCGAGTAGCCCAAGTGGATGCTGAATACACAGGGGTTTGCATAACAGCAGAGAAATCTTGACCTGAGAGAACTTTTATAATTAGCAACAGGAAAACTTAGCTGACCTTACTCTGTTAAGAGACAGTCTTTATTTTGCTGGATGATTAACATCTTCTGCTCCAGAGAGTAAAGATAGACCTTCATCCTTGCAAAGATAGCTTACAACAAAGCAAGACATGCAAAATCATGAAAGACCCACAAAGAACTACCTCTACACTACCTTATTAATAAGATTCTACCTTTCTATTGTCTGACTATATGGTCCTCTATGCAAATAGTGATACTCTGTGTTCTCCAGTTTTCCGTTATGTATGGTTTTCCCTCTGTGTGTTGAACTAGTCAGTACCTCTATAACAATGCTGCACCGTAGTGTTGCTAACAGCTCCTGTTCAGATTTCCAAATTCATAGCACTATACTTCTTTAAATATATTTGCTGTTAGTTTCTGGAAAATGTTCTTCATCATGCATAGAAATTATTATTTGATTTTTATTTCATTTTTTGCTAATAAGGAACTGCTGCAATTTGTCTAACACATTTTCTTCATATGGCTATAATCATATTACTTTTTCCTTCAAGTTTTAAATATAATAAGTGACATTTCAAATACTGGTATTGAATCGTCTCAGAATAAGCTCTGTTTAGTTATAGTCCATTATTGCTATATAATTCTATATTTAATTTCCTCAAATTTTATTTCAAAATTGCATCTATATTTATAACTGGAATTTTCTACAATTTTCTTTCAGAGGTTTTGCTATCAGGATGAAATAGAAGACATACTTTCCTTTTTTATATAGCTGCTCCATGTCTTACAAAAGGATTATGTCCTTATAAACCCACAGTAAACCGAAAATGCATTCAAATACCTATGGTTAGCAATACCGTGCGTGTGGAATAGGAGTTGTTTCCTGTCCCGATCTGTGGCTAACTAGGAGCCACAGCTAGCTGCTATCACCAGGTGTTGTGACAGTCTGACTATAAGACTAGCCCAGGAAAAGAGCAAACTTCAACAAAGTACATTCCTACTGAAAGAGTATTGTTTCACAAAATTGGAGAGTTGAAACATTGAAAAATCCTAAGTGGAACCATTCCCCAACTATGACAGCCAAACAACAGCTCCCTGGGGCTTGTCATCAATAGGGCACTAGTCTCCTCCTGGAGGGCTCTTCCTCTTGACCTAACAACTTCTCTAAGGACCACCACCTAAAACCATTTCATTGGGGGAATTAAGTTCCAAAACATAACCTCGAGGAAGGAGGATACAATTAGGAACCCTTTGTTCCTCTCGGCTTTGGTCTGCTTCTTAGTCTGCAGTCAACTCCCTGGGGATTTATTTCTCCCTTGAACTGAATTTCAGTTTCCTCTGCTCCTAGGACGTGTGGGGAGAAGGGCCGCCTGGGTGCGTGTGGAGAGATAGCTCCTACACAGTTTCACAGAAAGCCCTGTTGCCCTTTTCCTTATGCAGTTCCTGGCTCTTCCACTTCATGAAGCTTTACAGGTTCCTGTATTGTCACAGCTCTCATTGCTATTCTACCCCTCGAGGTCTTAGACGTGACTCCCCTACATCTGCTTTCATCCTCCAAATGAGTTTTGTGTCCGCCTCTCCCCTTTTGTTCTCCTGGTTCTTGTGTTTTTACAACTTTTTATTTCTCTAATGCTCACTTTTTCGAGTTTCTGTGAGGGAGAGGATATGAAAGTATATGGTCCAGACATGTTCCAAGAGAGGCATGTGTTAGTTTCCTCTCTCTGAGCAGTTGCCATGATGTCATCAGTTTTTTCTGTATGTGTTTTATAATTTGCAAGTTATATTTTACATTAAAAAGTATTTTCTGGTTGATAGTTATAGGTGGGCTAAATTTTCCATTTAACTCAAATAAATAGATTGAGAGACTACAGTTAAGGAAATAGTCATCTATATTCATTTGCTAAATATGGATTCTTCCCTCACTTGAGACTCTGAGGTAACTCTAAGGAGGAAAGCCTGGTTGGTGTCTCGGCCTTCGTTTTGTGTCAGTTCCGTGTGTTAAAGGAACAGAGATAAACCATTGTCCTTAACTCCTTCTTCTCAGCTATCTTCAATTCCAAGAAAATAAAAAGCTCACAGGACAGAGCATCCCCCAGATGAGAGGTCACTGCACCCTCACTGACAAACAGATTAATAGTCTATCCGAACACCCTGCAGGGCAAACTTGTGCTGAGACAATGTTGGTCAAGGCTTGACCAGGGCTGCTTAATTGTATATAACACTGATCGTTGATTTAAACATAAACTTCATTTTAGGACTCTGAAGAAGGATTTAGGGATCACTAGACCCCTTTATTTACCCCTTGGTCCTAATGTGGCCACATTGAACTATTCTCTTTTATCTGTTTTTTTCCCTCCCATGTTATCTCTTTAACCAGCATACGGGGATAGGTGGCCAGCATAGCCTGTTTGGGCTGCTGTAGCCCAGACTCCTACCTTAAAAATCTATCATCACAAAAATTATTTCATTGTTTTTTGATAATGGATTTATACCTATGTCACACATCTGTTTCTGCTAAAATTGAATGATTTCTTTTTTTAAATAAAAAATGCTAAGCCTGAGAATTGAGAACCATACAATTTAACTTTGGATTCTATAGTTGGAACGTAAACATCAGCTTTGAGTCACACAACAGTAAGTTTTATTTTGCAGCAAAGAACAGACCATTTTTGCATGCAAAGCATCTGTGTTTCATCAAAAGCTCAGCATCCACATGTATAAAAGCTACTGGCTTTGACAGTGACTATGTTACTGTAGAGCTTAATTTGGTATAATCAATTTGATAATTAGGGAAACTCTCCATAGAAGACAATAGGTTTGGCATTCATAAACCAGCTCACAGTAATATGTCTTCTTAATAATTCACACAATGGCTGAGGGTTTTTAAAAGATTCTTTCAGTAGAAATGCCTTCCATTGGAGAGTTGCAGTTGCCTCCAGAGATTTCAAAGAAATGTTGAAAAATGATTCTAAATGAATAATGGACCAAATATCTAAATGAACTTCTGTAGACCAACATCAAATTTTATCATTTCAGATGTATGAAGAGGTTAGGTAGTACTTTATAAATGGAAATAGAACAAATTTTCCTCTCAGTTCAGTAGTCTACTTTATCTTATTTGTGCTATATACTTCTGAAATATCTTTGGTCTATATTTATTCCACTAATCAAGAGTATTAAATATATTTGCAAAAAGACCAGGTCATTTTATTTTTCAATTCTTTTTTCCTAAAATATATGAAAGAATGCAGATCCTTTTGTACAACAGTTTTGAGGATTAAGCTGTAGTTATTGCACATTAGCCTTACAGGGCTTTAAAGATGAATCTGTTAAGACTTTTCCTATCGCATGGCTTTGTCACAGATGGAGCTGTGTTACCCTAAAGCTGGGTCTTGAGTTCTCACCTGAAACACTGGGAAGTCTGACCTTGAAAGATGTGAGAAAGTTGCTTAGTTCAATGCCTAAAAACAGCCATGTTATTATTTCTCTAATTATTAGAATTTTATAAGAACTAATTTAGCTTGGAAATATACATTACTAATAGAATGTGAATAATATTCTGCTCCTATTAAGGAAAATGGGAATATGTCCTCAGGGGTATAGGAAAATTTAATCAAAATACTTCACAAATTCTGTTGTAGGACAGATTTCATGCCCTCCACAGTTTTCTGTTTTTATTAGCCAGCAATACACAGAACAGTAAAAAGTTGCCAATGTAAAATGATTTTTATGTCATTTGTTATTTACTTTTCAGGAACATTAAAACATACATAATAAGTATCTTGCAGTTTTATTAGCTAATAGATATTTAAATAGATTAACAAATTATGCTTGGGGAGAAAAAACTGTAACATTGCTTTAAAGGTTGTGCTATGCATCATAAAACTTTCAGTCAGGAATATATTAAACACGTTTATTTGCAGCAGTTTTCTTTCATATCTTGCGTCGGGCTACTGACAAGTAACCTCTCTTTTAGTTCTGTTGCCTTGGGCTATAAATAACAGGAAACCTGGGTAAAAAATGAACAACAGAAATTATTTTTTCCCCATAAGAATAGTGGTGACGGGCAATTCTAGAACTGGTCTTTTTTCAGGTCTCCCTCTCTCATGGCCCAGATTCTGCTGTTTAAGAAGAGAGCTACTTTGTGTGTGTGTGTGTGTGTGTGTGTGTGTGTGTGTGTGTGTGTTTTGTATGTGTATGTTTGTATTTATATGTGTGTGTTCATGTATGTGGGTAGTTGGTTTATATATTTATTAATATACATTTACTTAAGATTTAAAATCTCATTTCTATAGTTCTTCCTTTTTGGATTTTTTTGTATGTGTTTGTGTGTATGTGCATATGTGTATATGCATGCATTTTCAGATGTATGGGTACACATGTGTATGTGGATGCATGTTCATATGTGTGCAAATGTGTGTGGAGGCTAGAGGTGAACTTTATATGTCATGTAGATAACTTCTCAGAAGTTGTCTACCTCATGTTTTGAGACAGAGTCTCTCATTGGGACCCGAAGCTTAATGATTAAGCTGGGCTGGCTAGTCATTGTGCCCTAGGGATTCTCCTGATCTCGCCTGCATGATGCTGGCACAGGCATAGGCCACCAGGCTCAGCTTGGAGCTGGAGATAGATCTCGGCTCCTCAAGCTTGTATGACAAGTACTTTACTAACTGAGCTATCTACTCAGCCCCACTGTTTAATTTTTCTTTAAAAAGCAGTGACTTCTTTTTCAGAGTTATGGATCAGGCACATATCTGTGCCTAAATTCACCAGGAAAAAAAAAAAAAAAACTCCAACATAATTACCATGAATGGACTGAACTAATCAATATTCCTTACCTGGGTCTTAGGAGAAATTCATGACTGGCAGAGTTGCCTGATGTATCAGTAACTTTCTGTTGAGGAGGAGAAATGTTGCTAGAGAGCCACATACATACCTGGTGATGAGCCTATGACATCTGGGCTGTCACAGCTGTCTGGGTCTGAGAGCAGCATCTTCTCCTACCCTTTCAATTCTTGCAACATCTAGCTTCCCCTCCCTTGTGTGACTGAATCCTCTTTCTTCTTCTTCCTTTCTTACCTTTCCCCTCTCTACCCTACTATTCCTCCCTAGAAGCAAAATAACTGATCTCCCTGCTTCAGGTAAAATGCTTTACCTGCACGATTTGTGGACTTAGTATACTGCTCCCTTTCTATCTTCATAAATGTCTGGAAACGTTTTCCCGAATGAAGACAAAGGCTTCCTTAAAAAATCTGCTTAGGGTAAACTAGTACTCAATTTACCTTTCTCATTCTTTACAGAGTGAATAAACTTGAAAACCGTATGAGAAATCTCATTAGAAAATGTCATTAGAAATCTTCTGAGTCTGTCAGTCTACTCCAGAGCAACAGAACCCATAGGACACAGGTGCCAGAAAAAATCCATGGATACCTCCTCACACATGGGCACACAAACACATGCATACTACGCACCCTTGCATAATGTTTTATAAGAAGTTGGATCACATGATTATGGACACCATCAATTCCTAAGACCTAAGCCAAAGTTGGCAAAGTAGCCACCTAGGAAAGCTGATGTGCAGTTGAATACCAAGTCTGGAGTCTGAGGACCAAGAGAGCTGATGATCTGCTTCAGTCTGAAGGCCAACAATCTTGACACTAAGAAAAGCCAACATTTCACTTTGAGCCCAAAGGCAGGAAAAAATTGATGCCCTACTTTAAAGGTGACAGGCTGGAAGAATTCTTTCTTAATTTGCAGAAGAGTTAGCCTTTTTCTTCTACTTAGACCTTCAACTTATTGAATGAAGTCACCACATAAGGGGAGGCAGCCTGCTTCATTCAGTCTGCCATCAAATGTTAACTTCATCTCAGAAAAACACCCAAGATAATGGAGTGTCTGACTTAATATCTCAGTACCCTGTGGCCAAGTCAGAGTAGCACCTAAAATCAGCCATTCCAATAATCTGTTGGCTTTATGAGCTCAGAGAAGAAGAAGGGAGGAGGAGAGGAGGAGGAGGGAGAGGAGGAAGAGGACA